GCCCTGATTGGGGATCGGGAGCACCAGAGGGAGAGGCTGCACCTGGAGGGAGACAATCAGGGGGAGAGAGACACACACAAACACAACACGGCACATAACAAGTGCGAATGATTTAATGATCTAATGATCTACACCCCCGGAGAATTTCTACAGTCACCCTTCAATCAGCTAATGTATGATCATTTATTCATCTTGAAGAAGGCCCGAGGGCATAATCTTCATTAAAATCAAAAGAAATGCACATGGAGACATAACGTGATCTGACAAGGCAATATACTGCAAACAAACCTGACTCCACCCTTGCTTCATCCCCTGGAGCCCAACCTTCACTGACTGCAATAAAGCATGGCCTGGCTTCAGCCCTAAAACACCTCACTCGAGCTCCACCATCAGAGATGGCCCTTGCTCCACAATCTGAACCAGAAACCCTCTTGCTCTTATTACTGTACCAGAGCCATGCTTGTGCTTAAAACACTGTGTCAGAACACACTCATACATCTCCCAGAGATTCAAGATTCAAAGGTTGTATTGTCATATGCACATAAGCTACAGTGTAGAAATGGCAATGAAAATCTTATGACCCGAGCTCCTCCAACAATGCAACATAGTTATATAATAAAATACAAAAAATAAAATACAAAATAGTGCAAGAAGTCTTTATACACGTAAATAGAATATGATACATACAACAACAGAATGTTAAATTAAATATTGTAGAGTAAGATGAAATTAAATACAGGTTATTACAGTGATAACTATTTAGATAAATAAATAAATTGCAAGATGACAAACAGATGAATGCTTATGGAGACACAGTGCTCAGGTGTTTAGCAGTCTTATGGCCTGCGGGAGGAAACTGTCCCTGAGTCTGGTGGTTTTAGTCACAGCAGATTCATATGCATGATAATATGTCCTGAGAAATGTTTAGAAGACAGATGGAGGAAATTCTGGTAGCCTACAAGTACTGAGAGATGCCAAATCCTGAGATGAGTTCCTCGTGTTAAACTGTGTGAGTAAGGTTCCAACTGCAAAAGTCTGTGGTGATGGAAAGCCAAGTCGCTAGGTCGTTCCTCTGAAGGCCGAAACATGAATGCAAGGTCACAGAGCAGGTGAGTAAAAATCTTTCCCTTTCAACATGATGTAACTTACCACCCACCCAACAACACCCTGTCCCTGGTCCTCTCAGGGATGGGCAAAGAAATTATGAATCCTCTCCCTTCACTGAAAGAGATTCAGACATGCATCATCCAACCAACTGGACCTGATCATAACACGAACACACTGCATCCTTGCATCAGACAGTCAGACACTAATATTTAAAAAGATGTCTTACCACCACTTAAAATCAAGGAGGCCTTGCAATCCTCACGAAGCACCTGTGTTCAACAAAAGGGAGGAGACTGAGGTTCAACCTCACAGGAAAAAGAAAAGAAAAGATCTGTGTTGTCTGTATTGGGAAGAAAGACTAAGACTGGCTTGAATTATTGGCAGGAAAGAAAAGGGGACCTTGAAGATGTTCTTGGTTTAATTATTAATATTATAGTTCATGTATAACTTTTGAAAACCTAACATCTCCAGAACAGTAGGTGGCGGTATGCACCTTATATGAAACGGTCGCTACCTGCCAAAATGTCAACAAAGAAGAAGAACAGCGCCCTCCGTAAACTGTCATGGCCGCTCTGCTCGACATAGCAAGCACGTATATGGAAAGTAACTAGTTGTCTTAATCGTAAAGTGGCCGTCATAATGAGGACTGTCCTGATGGTGGCAGAGAAACCGTCCCTGGCTCTGTCCATTGCCAAAATCCTGTCTAAAGGTGAGTAGCAGAGTATGTGAGCATGTCTCTTTGTTGTTGGACACAGTAGGCTACCTTTAAATAAGCAGTGTGTCAGGTAAATTGTTAACAGATTTAAAGTGTGAACAGTGTTGTGTGAGTGATATTTTGGTGTAATTTACGGTGACCCCGACGATGTCCACATCAAGAACAACCCGTTCACGTTAACCAAACTAAGACACGAGAGAAGCCTTTAGCCTAAGGTGACCAGATTTTCAAAATTAAAACCCGGGACATTTTGATTTTTGCTGTCAAAATATCATTAACATCAATTTTCTTCACTGTTAAAGAAAAAAGGGGGACAATTCTGGTTCAATTTAATTTGAACATTTTAACTGTTGGATACAAACAGAAGGACGATAGCTCATATATGAGACTTCCAAGGTCTTTTATTTTGAAACTGTACATTATATTGTCCAGATTCTCTCGGAGTGATTAGATGGGGTGTCCTGCTATCACCCTGGAGTGAAATAAGTCTTTGATAAGTTGACAGTTTTTTATTTATTCTTGTATAAAAACAGAAGGACGATAGCCCATATATGAGCTTTCAAAAGTATTTTATTTTGAAATTCTACATCAGATTGTCCTGATTTTCTCTGATTGACTAGACGGGGTCTCCTACTATCACCCTGAAGTGAAATAAGTATTTGTTTGACTTCGAATGACTCTTTAATTATGGACAGTTTCCATTAAATAATAATCAAAATATAGATGGACAATAGATCTAATTTGATATTTTAAACAGCATACATTTTAAATTGTGCTTCAGAAAGTAATGTTATTTTAGGAGTGTTGTGAGATGGTGTCAACATCAATTGAAATTAGTCACCCAGTGGAAATGTCCGATATGTCTTCATAACTGTATCTTTACATTTTACATTCACTCAGTTATGATGTGGGAGTTATACGTAGTTTGTTTTACATTAGTATTGATCACATTATATAGTACATATTTCTTAATTTAAGCTCCAACATGAATATGTTTGGTGTGTTTTTTAGTTATATTTGTTATTGACCGAATAAACGCTTTTATTTTGAAGGCAGTTTTTACAGGCCTCTACCGTAATGCATAGGCGCACCACAATAGAGTGGCGAAGTCCCTCCCCTTCCGGTGGACCTCCATGGGACCTTATTTCGGAAAAATCATGTCAAAACGAGCAAGACCCATTGCTGGTATGATAACAACCTGGTACTAAGCACACAGGCATCTTGTTAAAGTTATCTTATCTTAGCCAGCGCCATATAGATAGATTATATCTATATGGCGCTGACGATCTCCCGTAAAAGCTCCGTAAAAGGTACGTGTTGTGATGTCTGTGTTTGCTTCCCCTGTCGCGAGATCGGATCGCTTAGATACTATACTTAAATAATCTGTGGAGTCTCAGCTTTAATCGGATATATTGTATGTGCAGTTTCGATAAGTAATAAGGGTATCTTTATTTTGAATTCTGTGCTAAAGTGCGTCAGCATTTTTTTTTTAAATGAATAAAACCGCACGTCCCTGCAGTGTGAATATCGCGCATGCGCATATCGCGGTTATCGCCATGACACGGTATATCATTCAGCCCTACAATGCATCCTTATTGGATTCATTCCTCCATTGGTGGACTTAGATCAGTCTCAATAGGTTACGCACACAAAAGGATTCCCAAGTGAATTTTGTGATTAATAAATATATATGATTCTCCACAAAATTATTTAGCAATGCACACATAATTTATCGTAGTATACAAATAATCCACAGAAACCATGCATTAAAAAAACAAATATTCCTACTGGCAAAGGGTCATTGTCCCAAAAATCATGTCAACATTATTTTATTGTCACTTGAAGACCATTTTATGCCACAGATATTAAATGATAATACAATAGCATAATAATGCATATGCACTTTCATTCTTAAAAATATATTCAGACATTTTGATTGGATTGGATTTTATTTTGTCAGTGTTAAGGACATTAATGACAAAGAGTGCAAAGTAACAACATATAAGCTTTAATTGATAGCAATGTTATGTTTCCACTGTTTTTAAACAGTCAACATATTGGCTGATTCAGGTAACAGGCCTTTCTTGACTATTCACTCTCTTGACTCTCACTTAAACCCAACATGTGCCCACCATGGAGCTGTAGATTGTACGCCCATTGGACCAATATTCTTCCAAACGTTCTGGCCTGTCAGTACCCGTAAAAACCCCTATCCTCAATGTTATCGTACCTCTACCTGTGTCCTCTACTCTGAAGCCAGTACCCAGAATATATGTTCTTTATCTGGGTTCACTAACCCTAACAACAACAACAATCCTGCTAAGCAGTTCTACAATGCTGGCTATCACCTCTGTAAATAAACCCAGTGTTTCTCAGTCTGGCTATGACTGCGTTACACTTAAAAGGTGAGGAGTTTGCAGCAAAAAATCATCATATTTTACAAATGAACAGCATATAACATAGCTAAAAACGTTCAAAACTTAATCCAGTCTAAAAGCAACACAGTTTAAGATGCCAAATGGAGGAAGGACGGGTGGCAAAAGAAACCCCTGGGTAATGCATACATTAACCGGTTAATATTATCTCTGCTTATCTTGGTTACTATTAGGTTGACTTATATAATATGTGTATAACATTGAATTAATGTGTTGCTTGAACGCAGCTTTTCATTTTATCTTCTTAATCTTCCTATTTTTTAAAAAGAAAACAAGGCTTATTTATTAGCATTAAATTGCCAAACATTCATTTACATTTTAAGTGCATTCTACTGTTCAACACTTTGAGTTATGTTTTTATTTACTCCCAAGTCTGTTTTAACCAACCAGGCTTGCAGCTGAAAGACTAAGGCATAAATAATTAATATTGACCTCCTAAGACCGTGTCTCAAGCCATGAACCAATCTTGAACATCACCTGACCCGGAAAGGTCCGGTGTGCAGCATACGTCACCAGCTATCCCATTAAGAAGTGAACCACAGTCTTAGTACTGAAAACCCAGGGTTAAATCTGAAGTTACTAACCCCAAATCCTGCTCTGTAAGTCTGACACAGAGGAGAGCAGACAAGGGGACATGTGACAGGGAAGTGACATGTTCATTCGCCTTAGGCGCTGTGAAAGAACGCTCTGGCATCATGTTGACTAACATTTGGGTGACTTTCTCATTTAAACAAACACGCATGTTAAAACAAATGGCAAAAATGATGAGGCTATGTCCATATAGGGTACAATAAGTCGATAATGTATTGTTGTGACAGGCCTATCAGCCATTCCTGCTCAGCTATGCCTGGAGATGGCACATATACACGCTATGGTGATGAGCTCAAACTCCAGAGAGTAGCTGGCTGAGGGGAAGCAGCTGGGGTTCTTCCTGAGGACGGGCATCCTCAGGGACACGGGGATGGTCTCCATACCAAAAGCACTGTCCAGCCCCCTGCAGGAGTGGCTGCTGTGGCAGCTGGCCTCATGGATGACCTGAGGCACCCGGTTCAGGTCGATGTTCTCCCTGGAGACAGATCACAGACAGGCTTTATTCATTGGTGAATAAGAATCCTTCATCTAAAGGATTTATTAAGTCACCTGTGCACAGGAGTTCAAAACTTGTAATCCCCATCTGATCAAATCAGATTTGGATTTTGGGGAGTTCAAAACCAAACAACAGGATTAGGATCACTTTGATATCCGATCAGATCAGGAAATCCAATCCAAGCTTTAATCTGGATCAAATCTTCAAAACGGGTAGTTCAAACCGACAACACAGGTTTGGGATCAGTTTGATCCCAAACAACTGGATTATCCTGATCCCACCAGAGGGGTGGGTTTCCAGTGGATTACCAGAGCAAAATGTACTGTACCATTTATTTAAAAATATGTTTCAATATAAATAAGATGACAAAGTTTGTTAACTGAAATAATACACACTTTTTAGCCTTCATGGCAAATCAATTTTATTTTTCATTTTTTGCTCACGTTTGTGGTGGCCTGTTTTGTTTTCAACCAAATGTTGATGACGTAAATGTTTATGCTCATGAAAGTATCACAACAAAGATTGTCAATCACAAATGTAATTTAGATTAAAGAAAAAATATCTTCAACAAAAAGAAAGTCCATCATCTGTCATCACCTTTCAAAAGTAATTGCGGACAATAGATGTCTGCAATGTGGTCTCTTGTCTTCCTTGTATTATTTTTCATGTCCACTAGATGGCGCTCAGTAGGATTAAAGCACTGATATTCAGGATCTAGTCATCTTGAAAAGTCGTAATCTGGATCAGGGTGATCCTATCCTGAATTGCTTTGAACTCCAGGGACAGAATCTGTCCGACTTGTCTGATCCTGAATCACAACAAATGGGATTTCAAAATCTGATCGAGATTAAAAGTGTTGAACTCCTGGGCCCTGGCGATAAATTCTGCGATCCTGTCTGTTAGCAGATGTTTTCAGTAATACACAGGGATGTTTCTCAAATAATCAAACAAGTCATACTGTTCATGATAAAGTATCATTCCCTGGGATCATTGCCCACACAAAGACCATCAAAATGTGCACTTAATACAAAGCACTTCAAAGTTATTTGTCTTGTTTGTCACGTGCAAGCAATGTAAAGGTTTCATTTCTCATCACATAGAGAAATGACAAAGTGGTCATTATGCTATGGTGTGCTGTTGGCAATTGAATATTATACCTATTAGGGGTTCACCTAAAAGCTGTTTGCCAGCCGCCCTTAAAAAACAAATGATTAAATATAATTATTTATAATAAACAAATATTCTTAAAATGAATTGCTTCAAACTTGAAATGAGTTTGTTTCACTTAGTTTAGTCTTGTATCAAATGTAATACTTTTGGTTTTTAGGCTATCGGTCAAACAATACAATACATTTGACACTTCAAATGAGTTGTAATAAATAAAATGACCCAATGAATGGTTGATTTAGGGCAATTGGTAAATGAATCATTAATTGGAGTGATCATTAGTTTCAGTTATACATTTACATTTGATCTTTCCTCATTCATATTCTTTCCTCTTTTCTTCTTCACTCCCAGTTCAGTCAGCTGGTGCTTCTACCAAAGTGTCATCAATAGGTAGCCACAATCTTCTTGATGCTTTGAATGCAAGGACATTGTAAAAAAACAGCTGATAGCTATTTACTAGAATGCAATTAGTCATTTCCTAATGTCCAATCAACATTTCAAAGCACAGAGAGACTTCATCGACAATGGTATTCCTTGGAAAATGATGATCATTTTTGCTCTAAAAATGAAAAAACGACAGCGTTCTCAAGTTGACATTTACAGGTCTAGGTTTGTCCTGAATAATGGAACAACATGAAACATCCTAAGAGACTGATTCATATTTTGAAAAAGTTCTGTTAATCATCTAATGGATTATTTGATCCACTCTTCCAGAACGACTGGTTGAGAATACAATAGTGTGTTTTAGCTTAATGACAGTAATGGTGGCGTGAACACTCACACGTAGCTCCAGGTGGCGATGCTGCGCTCGTTGATGTTGCTGGGCAGGTTCACCAGCTGTCCGTAGTAGTCCTGCAGGCTGTAAGTGCAGAAGGACTCCTCCACACACTGGCTGCCCAGCGGAAGGGCCACACACTGGTTCAGGGCCGCGAGGCACAGCAGGAAGACCCGCAGCAGCTACACACATTACTCGGTTAGTCTCATTTCTCTGCGTCACTTTCCGGGAGATGTCTTGCATCAGTCTGCTTTTCCTCAAACTTAAAATACTGCATATCACTATGCTTTGGAAATGATTACGATTTGTTTTTGTCCCTCAATGATAAGCCGACAACTCTGAGTGGCATTCCATACTGATTTATTAAAGGCTGTCAGGACTCGGCTCTGCTTTGTATCAAACACTTTATTTAGTGCACTGCTTACCAAAAGGTTTTAAAAACTGTCATTTACAGTAAGCTGACCTCAAATATATGTTAAGATATGTAATCTTGTTTCTTATTCTTTGATAAAAAGGCCTAGTTCTTGATATGAATTACAGTTTGGCCCATTTCATTCTTAAGTTCTTGTACATCGCTACAGAGACAATATTACTTTGGTGTGTGTAATGAAACGAGGGTATTGTTAATAATTTCCAAGGATATCCAGCCCTACTTTGATAGTTAGTGTAAAGGATGGCCTCTTGTGGCTTATTATTTAAACGTACACGTTAAGACCAAAACTATTCTACTTTTAACTGTCAAAAACGTCTGTCATCATCACCATTAACATGAAGGCAACTTTCTTACCTGGAGCTGTTCCATGGCTGAAGTTTGTCGCTTGAGATGGGCTGCTCCTGGGTGCTGTAGGTCTTATGTTGTTTCTGTTGGAGTAGATCTGCAACCTGTCTCTGGACCTGCCTCTATTTATTTGCCCTCATCGTAGCATTCCCATTCGAATAGTTTGCGTCCTTCATTAGCAGTCAACCTTGAAAGAATAATTGTATTCCGAGAAGACGTCATGTGCATGGTAACTAAAGGATATGCACTCATGTTCTGACCTTCTGTAAAAGTCTGACTCATCAGAGCCCCGAGAATAAAAACTAAAAAAGTAAATAAAGTGTACTTTTTGAAGTGCATTTCAAAAGTTGTGTTTTCTAATTCATTTTTATTTATTGAATATCTTCAAAATGATGTACTTTAATCTCACGATACTTCCTTATTATATCTGCATATTATAAAATATAAGGTTGCTATTATTTTATAATTTAAGTTGTATATAGTATAGTGATTAAATACATAACACGTTATTTGTGTAATAAAAATAGTTGTACAATAAATAGCTAAAGAAAATAAATGCTACAAAGCAAGCCTCAAATGTTCTCCTGATGAAAGCTTTGTTTGATACGGTCTCATAAAGTTCTCCCTTTGACTGGCTTGACTTTGCCCTTTGCTTCTTGCAGATTGACGGACACTGAGCAGTACACACCAGAAGTCAGTCTGTCTCAAAGAGCTTCTTAGTCCGTGTCCACTGTTCTCACTAAAATAATATATTATTTTTGTAATAAAAAACTACCCTGCTTCCATTAAAAGACAACAATAGATCACTTACAGGTCATACAACATCATCTATAGGGCAATACACAAAAGGTGGGTAGATCTGCGGACGAAACGCTCTGGGGGGCCAAACGGCTCCGTGTGTACGTCCTATACGATCATTTCCTGATAACGATGACGCCATAGCCCCGCCTCTCCCCACCTCTGCTGCTCACGCCGGCGTCACCCGCGTGTTTCAACAACAACAACAACAATGGCGGATCACAGGGTTGCTTTTGTGCTCGTAGTTTATTTCCATTAATTATATTAAAAACTGCTCTGGAGATCAGTGGTTGCATTAGACTTTTTCGTTGTCCGTCATTTTGACGGACAGGATCGTAAAATGTCCATCATATAATCCATTATTATCAGTCATTTTATTTTTCATGTTATAATCATTCATACAGAGCTTTTAAGGGCATGGAGAAAAAAAAACACCGACCGCGTGGTCACTTTTCATGTGAACACGAACATGAATGATTTCTTTGTTCCTGCACTGACGGCACAGCAGAGGGGGGCAGAGGCCGCTAAAAACACCACGACCACTGTGCCTAAACAGGCAAATATGAACAATGCCATCGTTTCAAATGAGACAATTACAATCAGAATATGAACAAAACATTTACAAGAACAACTCAATTGACCTGCTGTAGCCTGAACGCTGATTTCTGCATCGTCGTGCACCCTCGGACAAATCCGTTACTCATCTTAGCTTTTCTACAGATGTTGCAGAACACTTTGTCATCTCCCCTCCTCAGCCACTTAAACTCTTGCTCCCACTGAACCCGGTACTCCCGCTTCAACTCCTTGCCACTGGCTTGCCCCTCTGCCGCTGTCTGAACGCTGTCAGTTTGAGTCTTACTGGCTTGTCCTTCATCCTCCAGCGCATCAATCCCTCTTTTCACCTCGTTTATGCACACCATCACAACTACTGGGCTTATTAAAAAAGCTTCGGACGATCAGCTGCCGTGACATTTTGCGATTGCTAAAGCCGGTTAAACAACGAGGTAATCAACGAGGTCAAAAACAAGACTAGACAATAGCTACTTAATATACACACACTCGCCACCAACTGGACAGGGGTGTGAATGACTAAATAGTTACAGACTACAGTAGAGTACAGTAGATCGCCCTCAGTCCACCTGGCCACTGAGGATGTAATATAATGTGGGCCGCTGGTGGGCATTTTGGCGCTGTTCCAAATTGTGTAATCTGTCAAAATGACGGACTGCTTTCAGATTTTTCCGTCATTGTTAAAAAAAATCCGTCATTGACGGAAAATATTCGGTTAACGCGACCTCTGCTGGAGATGTTGTCATTTTTCCACAAAAGCGAGTTACAGGAACTGTTCCCAAATCTCTGGATCGCCCTCCGCATTGCAGTAACTCTTCCTGTTACAGTTGCGTCTGCTGAGAGAAGCTTTTCCAAACTAAAGCTTATGAAGACGTACCTCCGGTCGTCAATGGCACAAGAATGCTTAAGTGGCCTGGCTATCATAAGTATCAACGCATAGTTGGCACAGCAGCTGTCAGACGATGACCTTGTCGATGACTTTGCATCCAGGAAATGCCGACGTATTCACCTGTAAACGCATACTGAACGACATACATGCACATTTACCATTTACCTCACTGTATAAAAAAGTAACTGTTGATAATAATAAACAGGAATTATATTTGCAAAGTACTTTGTTTCCAAACCTTTTTTTTTCACTCCTGTCGGTGGGGGGGGGGGGGGCCTCATCTCATCTCACAATGTCACTTGGGGCCCCAAGTTGGCCAGGGACGGCCCTGAGTAGGGCTTCTAGTTTAGCGCTTACTTCAGCCCGTTCCTCCCTTTTGGCACCCTTCTGGGCTAGTGGAAGCATGTCCTGTCCTGCAGATACGATTTAAATACCTCTAACATCTGGTCTTTAATAGTTTTTGGACAAATACATTGGAACATATTAGGCTTTGGTACACACAATACTTGTGTTGGTTTGGATCTTTTCAGAGTTTCAACCACATTAATTACCTCTGCAATTAATTAATTAATGTGGTTAGGTGGGCATTTAAATGTTTTTTTCATGGGCCTATAAAGCCTGCACCTTTTTAAAAGACTTTTGACTAATTACATTATCATCTTTTATCCTTGGCCTTAAGGAAATTGTACAAGTCGCAAGGGTCTCAACGGAGCATGCTCAGTGCACGAATACCCCGGCAGCTTCCAGGGCCAAAGTGTACGCTTTAAGATGACTTCTGTGTGTGGACATGTGATGAGTCTGGATTTCATCGGTGGGTATCAACTCCTGCTCACCCTAACCCACCCAACCTTCACTGATGACATTTCCTTGCTTAATAATGTAACATGTTTTTAAGAGTTCAGTTTTCTGAATCTGTCAGAAAAGAAAAAAGTTATCAGTACATCCCTAATCATGACCTGATCAACATCTTAAACAATTGAATGTGCCATTACACCTTTCTAAAAGTAATAACTAAAAACACCATTTAACAGTACATATGAATTGTTACCATCAGATTGGAGATACAGATCCCACAATTGAATAGGGTTAGACTGAAGCACTCCTTTGTGCACCAGTCAATCCTCACATTAAATACAGAGTTTAATCCCAGGTCAAATGTACGTAAGAAGCTCTTGAACATACTGTCTTCAGTGATTGTATTGTTGTGTTAATTGTCCGTTTCCCCCGCTTAATATTTGAGGATGGAGCTGCTGTAACGTATGACAAATGTCAGACTTGATCTGACAATAAAGTATTAATCGTATCGTTTTATGTGTTTCAACCTATTTAGCTCCCATTTATTGTCTTTCTTACAGTTTAGACTTTGTTGTTGTTTTTTTAGGGAAGTACAACAACTGGGACAAGGTGGACCCTGCAGAACTCTTTAGCAAAGCTCCGACAGAAAAGAAGGAGGCCAACCCTAAACTCAACATGGTCAAGTTCCTCCAGGTAAGTGACTCAGATATGGATTTTCAGAAGACATTGGAGCTCACAGCATTCTTATGAATCACCAGGGCCCAGGAGTTCAACACTTTTAATCTCAATCAGAACCGATCAGATTTTGAAATCCCATTTGTTGTGATCCAGGATCAGACAAATCGGACAGATTCTGTCCCTGGAGTTCAAAGCAATTCAGGATAGGATGACCCTGATCCAGATTACGACTTTTCAAGATGACTAGATCCTGAATATCAGTGCTTTAATCCTACTGAGCGCCATCTAGTGGATATGAAAAATAATACAAGGAAGACAAGAGACCACATTGCAGAGACATCTATTGTCCGCAATTACTTTTGAAAGGTGATGACAGATGATGGACTTTTTTTTTGTTGAAGATATTTTAACAAACTTTGTCATCTTATTTATATTGAAACATATTTTTAAATAAATGGTACAGTACATGTTGCTCTGGAAACCCACCCTCTGGTGGGATCAGGATAATCCAGTTGTTTGGGATCAAACTGATCCCAATCCTGTGTTGTCGGTTTGAACTACCCGTTTTGAAGATTTGATCCAGATTAAAGCTTGGATTGGATTTCCTGATCTGATCGGATATCAAAGTGATCCTAATCCTGTTTTTTGGTTTTGAACTCCCCAAAATCCAAATCTGATCTGATCAGATGGGGATTAAAAGTTTTGAACTCCTGGGCCCTGGATGTCATTGTGTTTCATGGATTATATTTGTGGTGCTTACCCCACATTTCTGGTGTCATGTCAGGTTGAAGCGAGAGGCTGTGACTACGTGGTTCTATGGTTGGACTGTGATAAAGAAGGCGAGAACATCTGCTTTGAGGTAATTCAGGGCCGAATTCAAACCTGCTATTAATGCGAGCATTATCTGAAGATGTTATGTATAAAAGGACATCCAATCCTTGGCTCTTTTCACTAGGTATTAAAAACATTATTTTGGTTGTACTGCCGTTGTTATTTGATCTCGATATACAAATAGTTCAGACAGCATGGCTCACAACATGCCTAATCCTAGGTCAAAGGAAGCAGTGCTGCTTTTTGGGTTCAGCTCATTTTCTTTTGCTGAAAAGGAGTCTGCTTAGTCAAAAGGAAGAGATGACATTTTGCTCGTCAGTGCACTTAAGTAGCACTTGTAGTCTCATTGGGTTAAACTGCACTGCAGATGATCAGAATGTCCTCACATGCAGGAACACGTATTCCTCAGCGCTCAGTTTGGCCACATCTGATGCAGTTAGTGGGCTGACATCATACTTATATT